GCCTCCCTGCACGATCTGTGGAGGAAGCTGGGGACCATAGGACCATCTGACCCTCGAGCACAAACCGGGGCCTGGGCTACACACAGGGGAGGGGCCCAGGAGCAAAAGGTGTGTGGTGACCCTGTTGGATACTCATAAAATACAGTCACATTCTTCCAAAAAGATAACGCAAGAGTTTTCATTACATAGGCTGGCCCGATTCCTGCTGGTGACAAGAGTCCATGAGTCATTTCCTGCGAGTTTTTATGGCAGCAATGTACAAATACCCTCTGGTCTGTAATGGTACCTGTGACTACTCAGCAGTCCTGTGAGGAGCGGTGGAAAGAACCCTGGACAGGACTGGGAATCAGAGGCTCATTGTGAACAGTTTCCCAGGTCCTCTGTTTGAGTACGAGACCTTCTGTTCACAGCCTGGACCAGGAGGTGTTTTCCTCCAGCCTTTCCTACCATCCATCCACTCTGTGCTCTCCGGCTTTCACCCTTCCCCCAAACCCCATACACTCCTCCTTTCCCATTACAGAGCAACACACTCTCCCTAGAATATATGCACTCCCTCTAGCTGTTTCCTCAGTTCTACACGGCAAACTCCTACTCATTTGCCAAGTCCCACATCAAACCTCCTCTTCCAGGAAGCATTCCCACACTACCCCCGTCACAAATAATCATTTGCTTTTCTATACTCCTGCAGACCAATGTACAGACCTCTCTCTCAGCTCTTAAGATATTAATGATAATAAGGGCTAAATGTTTACTGATCACTTATCAGAATGCTGGACAGCCTTCTACACTTTACAAAGGTCACCTTATTTAACCCTCATGGTAACTCCATGAAGTAGCTACTCTTATTATCCTCATTTTACAGAGAATGCTACTAAGGACCAGAGATATTAAGTAACTTGCCCAAGGCCACAGAGCTATTAGATACTTAGACAAATGCCTGGCACATAGTAGTTGCTCAATAACTATTCACCTGATGAATGATTAATAAGTAAATACAGAAATAATTACATGTCTGTCTTTACAGAAAGCTCAAGTAAGAACAACAGCTTATTCATCTTCCAAACTATCCTCTCTGTCAAATGCCTGGTAAGGTGTATGGCACTGGAAACACCTGCTAATAAGCAAATAAAAGAATATAAGAGCAAACCAGTAAATAGAGTCCAAATCCCAGTAATGCCACTATCTTCAGCTTTCTGGACCCTGGTTTGTGGCCTGTTCAATGCAGAGCTTGCACATAACATCTGCTTAAGTTCCTTCTAGCATTAAAGATTTATATATAAAAATAACCAGAGTCCAAAATTTTGTGATTATAGCATTTCCCACACCAAATTACTTATTGCAGGCTCTTCTGGGTTGTTTTCCTCGGGAATACTACTCAGTCGGGTGTGACATTTGAGTCTGATGTTACCCTAATACAGAGTCAGTATCAATCCTGAAAGAGTTCATTTGGCTTGATCCTCAGTTCACCCTCATTCATATCCAAACATAGTCAGGCCGAGGGAAAGAATTATTAATATTCAGTGCCAATAAAACCCTCATAAATCAATAATAAACAATAATCCCAAGTGAGATTTTGTAACTAGCACCTGAGCCATTGCTCTAGAGGACTTTCAGGCCACTCTCCTTGTCCCCTGGCACCTCCACTAGAGCCCTTCCCTTTTCCCCAGTCTCTCACTGCTGTGACACGCACGTGTGTATACACACACACACACGGGTGGCACGGAGGCAGGAGCATGGTGCTCAGCACATGGCAGGGGCTGATAAATGCTTGCGAAATGCTTAAGCCCAGACCCACTCCAGGTGGTGCTGAGATGCATCCACATCAGCACAAAGGTCGGGGTTCTGGCTGAATTACGTTTATTCCTGCTCTGCCTATGGCTAACCGGGAGCTTGGCTTTATGCCTGGTACCTGACAAACCTGTGTCATCTGGCTTAGCATTGATGATCAGCCACATGTATGCAAATGCCAGCATTTCTTCCTTGACTAATGCTCAGCATAAACCATACACCAAAGGATGCCTGAACATGGTATGTGAGCAAGACAGTGTCTGTTCATGTTGGAAGAGGTGAGGACCCCTGTCCTGTGTTTTGACTCACAACAAGGAGTATAAGCACCGGCCTCATGGAGCTGGCCATTAAACACCCACACATGAATGTGATATGCAAGGAGCCTATATCATGGCCAGAATACAAATCAATAGTCGCTATAGAGGACACCCATTTTTTGTGGGATTTTTTTTCCTTCCTTCCTTCTTTCCTTTCTTTCTTTCTTTCTTTTTTGTTTTTGTTTTTTTTTTTTTGAGATGGAGTCTCGCTCTGTCACCCAGGCTGGAGTGCAATGGTGTGATCTCAGCTCACTGCAACCTCTGCCTTCTGGGTTCAAGTGATTCTCCTGTCTCAGCCTCCTGAGTAGCTGGGACTACAGGCACCCGCCACCACACCTTTGTATTTTTAGTAGAGATGGGGTTTCACCACGCTGGCCAGGCTGATCTCGAACTCCTGACCTCAAATGATCCACCTGCCTTGGCCTCCCGAAGTGCTGGGATTACAGGCGTGAGCCACCATGCCCAGTCAAGGACACCTGTTGTTTATCTGTCTCACACTCCCACATCCTTGGGGACCTGCTCCTCCCTCACGTCGATTATGTGATGCTTGAAAGGGCTGCCAATCACAGTAACCAGTTCCCCTGGCTTTGGCCATAATAAATCCAGAGGTGGGCCAATCAGAATCCTTCTCAATAGTTTTTTTTTTTTTTTCAGTATTGACCTGGAAGGGACAGATTCCAGCCTTTTGGAATGCAGCTATAAAGATGTGAAGGAGAGGCTTCAAACATGGAGAAAAATGGGTTTGCAGGAGGGAAGCATGGAGCCAAAAGAGAGCAAAGCATCCAAGCATCCAAGTTAAGGCCCCAACTTAAAGTGTCTGGACCTTCCTGTTAATATGAGTCAATGATTCCCTGTTCTTTGTGGTAATTTTGAGCTGGGTTTCCGAAAAGCACAGCTCAAGTAGCCTAACACAGTCACAGTTCATACCTACAATGCATTCTCAAATGTATCTTCCACTCCTCAGCATTCAGGCGGTTTTTATGAGATGGGTTATCTCACATGTGAAAAATGTCCTTGTTTCTCCTCACAAGAAAGGCATAAAAATTCCTGGGCAAGAGGCACCTTACCCAGCATCCCTAACAAAAGGTGCTTTCTTTCCCTTTGTATCTCAGAAGCCAGTGGTGACCTGCCAACCACAAGATGTGATGACTGTTCTATTTCAAGCTACCAAAGCTTGTAAAATAGAGGCTGGCCACACTGGCTAGGTAACTGGCTAGTACGTTTTGGAAAAAGGGTCTCCTCTTGGTGGTCAGCGCTCCATTCCATCCCTCTACTCACTGGCTCCCTGTGACAATCTGTCTTCAGATCACCAAGAGGGTCCCTCAGCAGCCACAGCATGTTGGGTGGATGGGGCAACAGCATTCCCTAATAAAACCAGAGCTCGGAAAACCCTCTGTGAGAGAATATAGTGCAACTGGGCCACCTGACTTTTATGGGACTTTTAAAAGAAAGAAGCCACCATACACAATTACTAAGAGGGGTGACACTTTGGAAGCTAAAAGCTTCCCCTCCTTTAAATCTGAAGAGCCACCCAGTGAACTCTGAACTATGAAGCCACAACAACGAGGAAGGGAGGCACCGGGCAGGAGTAGCACCCAGGACACTGGTCTCACCTTCTCCTCCCCCTTCCTTTTCCCTACCTCCCCCATCTCTTCTGCCTAGCTGGAGCATGGCAGGTTACGGGCAGGTACTGCCTGGATGGCTAGCCTGCTCTGGGCTGAGGCGACTGGTCTGTTTCAACCTGATGGAATGCTCTTCCTATGTCCCGCAGTGTCAGTGTGCCCCAGGCTCATAGGAGCTTGGCAGCTGTCTCCCCTGGGGCAGTGGAAAGCAGCATATCCCATGGTGGACTCAACAGCTTCTCATCACCAAAACAAAAACACAACAGTCCCGATTGCCATGGAGAGTTCAATCCTCTTGTCCTGGGATTGGCACCAACTGGAATTCCTAGGGTTCTAGCTGAGTTACCTCCTGTGAGGTCTAAATACAGCACATTCGATTTTAACCTAAACACAGCCTGAACCAGTGCTCAGGGCTGATAGCCCCCAACGGCCACCAGGGAAGTCAGCAGAGAAGCCTGTACTCTCAGCTGCCCATCTGGTGGTGGGCATTTCACAAATGTCAGAGAAAGGTTGTGATAGTGAGCCTATGTTCGCCGATGCTGTCTATGGCCAAATGATGGGGGATGCAATCGGTTAGTGTAGGCTTAACTATGAGTGCGGTCCTAGGTAGAGAAATGCATCCTGAGGAAAGGAGTGGGCAGGTGGAGAATGCAGGGGTATCAGGTAGAAGAGAAAGAGACAGGGAGGAAGACCCAGACCTATTTCTTAGCCAGTTAATTCAAAACCAGGGGATCTTTCTAAAATGTCCACACCCAGGGGAACACAACTCTCTAGCTATGCCTCTCCCTGAGATTTAGGACTTCAGCCCTAGAATCAGACGGACCAAGATTGTCCTCTAGTTGTGTGACCTTGGGCACAACTGACTTCTCAATTTCCCCATCACTAAAATGGCCTGAAGGACTACTGCAGCTGTTCATGGAAATCATGGCCATAAAGTACCTTGTACCTAGAAGCTGCTCAATAAATAGCAGCTACTAGAAGTAGTAGTAGTGGCAGCAGGAATAATAGAAGTGGGGGTAATATCAAGCATTGGCTTTTCTCCCTCAACTTTGCCTCTGGCTTCCCTCCCTTGGAGACGGCACCAGTGGAGGGAACCTCCCAGCCAGGAAAAGCTGATGCTTCGAGACAAAGGAAACCTTTACCAGAGGAAAACAATGCAACATCACACCCACACCCAAGAACCTTAGAGTGCCAAAATGGCAACAGCTTCCTAACCTTCTAAATGTCAACCCACATGCCCTGCAAAGGTAAGACTAGGAGGGTTTCTCCTTACCTTGGTGTTCATGCACGACTTCCCTCGCTTATACTCTTTGTGGGAACCACGCTTATCCAATTTGTACCACAGGGCTTTGGCTTTCCAGGTGGTCACCTTGGACTTGAGCTTGGAATAAAAATTTCTATGGTCCAGAGGGTCTAGGTCCAGGTGTCGTGTAAGGATGTTGAAGGCCTGGAGGGTACCTTTGCATGTGGATGCCTGGACAAAGTTCTCAAAAACCTGCCCCGCCTGGGCCTGCTTCTCATCCTCGTTTTCCCCCATGGTTCAGGAGTCGTGTGTGGCAGTGGTGTGGCAAGGACACAGGCGAACAGCATGAAGTATCTGGAGAAACGTCACACCTGCGACAGTAGGAGGAGGCAGAGGTCAGCTTTGGACAATGAGGGTAGGGTGGGGGATGGGTGCTGAGAAGTAAAAATACAATTTCTTTAAGACATTCAAATATTAATCATACTATTTAGTGTTCAATACTAAACATAAACATTTATAAAAGATATAGAATTGTGCCTTCTGGCCTGTCAATGTGGCATTGCGGGTAATCTCTCTCCTATACTCTGCTTCTCTCGCTGGCTGAAAAGTGCCACACGCTGCACAAGGCTATGCCCTGGCTAATGCCAATAGTACCTGGTCAGTCTTGCTCTGAGTCAAGTGGTTCTGCAAACAGTGACTAGGAAAAGGGAAAAACTCCCAGAAAAGTACACTAGATATAGCACCATTGAAAGTCTATCATTCTTGGTGCTGCAAGTTGGCTGGCTGATGTGAATATAACCCAGCCACAATTCACTAATGCACAGACAGAAAAAACTCCAAAGAACATCTCTCTAGATTTCATGACTGCCCACCTCTCCTTAGACACCCAGCTTTAAAGTCTTTCTTTATTAGTTACCAGAGGGCAGGGCTTTCCACTACACACATGACGGTCTCTTCTCAAAACTTCTGCTCCTGGTATCGGCTGGGAGCACACCATCTACCTCAGTCAGACTCACAGACAGACAGAGACACGTGGACCTCCTCCACCTGTGCAAAGGGGGCCTGTGCTTTGTAAGTCCAGGCTGTGAACTATTTGGAACAAGTGCTTCGGCTGATGGAAGGGAAAAATGCGATGGGTGCTCATTCACATCCCAAAAATAGCTTGCCTGGGCTTTGGCCATGGTCCTTTCTGCACCATTCTAACCTCAGACTTTTCTTAGAAAAGTCACTTAAGTTTCAAAGGAACAAAAATAAAGTAGAGCTGATTTTCCAAAGCACTAGCTGTTTTTCCAGAATCTAAAGCTGGCGCAAGGAGACAAATGTGGAGGAGCTGGGGCTGACCCAGCTGTCAGGAGGTCTGGAGGGGTCTCTGAGCAAGAGGACACAGCAGACCGAGCTCCGCCGATGAGGCCTGTAAGGGGAGGTCAGCAACACACAGAGCACAGGCCTCACGGCAGCTCTGCGCTCCCCAGAAGGGCAGTGTTTATCGTGGACAAGTTTGAATAGTGGGATGGTTTTATCATACCAAAAGCAGAGAATGGTGTTTATCTTCCTCCTTAATCTCTTACTTATTCACTCGGCAACAATTTTTGGTGCATTAGCAAGAGTTGGGCACCACTCAAGGGGCTGGGAATATGTAGGCTCAGGCCCTGCCCACAGGGAAAGACGGATTACAAGACCACAGGCAAGTGCTTGTGGACTATGAACCAAGGGCATGGAAGCCCAGAGCAGGCGGTGTCCAACAGAGCCTTGAGGAGTCCAGAGGGGCCGCAAAAGGGAAGTGTCAAGAAAGCTTCAATTTTAGGAATGAGATTTATTTTACTAGAAGACTGGGCAGTGGACATTCCAGGCCATGGAAATACCCACATAGGGATGTGAGTGTGGAAAGAGCAGGAGAGTGGTGGAATGACAGCACGTTCAAGGTTCAGGATTTGTGAGGAGGTGTGGTTGGGATGTCCAGCGCACATGGTGGCAGATGTCCCCTCCAGGCCAAGAAGGGGGCCTGGCCTCTCCAGTGGGTGGTGAGGAGCAGGAGACAGAGCAGCAGGAAGAGACAAGTCTTTGGGAAGATAAGAAGAGAGCTGCTGAGGTGCCTGGCACTGAGCTTGGCTGAAGGGAGACTAGCACTCATTCCCTGCTCAGGCCTAGCCAGCTTCCCTGCCCTACCCAGGCTGGTTCTTCCATGAGGCCTTACCCAGTGACCCCGGTCTATGACACTCAACAACTTCAGTAGACTGAGAAAGCAGGCTCTGTGCCCTGCCTGGCGCGACGAGCATGGATTCCTTCACAGATGCTCTCTGGGCTCTGTGAGCGTCCACTCTGCTCACTTGGGCATGACTCACATAAACACTGCCTCCTACTGTGTCTCCACTTTCCCCATGTGCAATGCTTGCCACCCAGAGAGCATAAACAGAAGGCGGGACTCATTTGCTTTGCAGAGCGTATTAACATTCTCAGTCTTTATCTATCTTTGGAACCACTTCTGTGCCCAGCATTGAACAAAGGCTGCAGTGGCTGGCCAACAAACACAAGGCTATTTGAACTTGCCTGCTACACTACGGTCTTTTCTGAGGACAGGCAAGCGGTACAGAGAAAACTGTAAGGCTTCAGAGCTATTGCCTCACACAAGCCACTTCTGATTCTCAGTTTCCCTACTGTAACAGACAAATTATAATCTCATCCTTGCAGGGTAGCTGTGAAGGGCAAGAAATGTGGATGACGGCAGAGCCGGGTCCCGGGAGGCACTCAGTAGATGCGGTAATGCACGCTGCATCCACCCAGGAGGCAGATTTATACCTGGGGAAATGTACCAGTTTAGAAAATAGTTTTGTAAATCAGTTCTCCAAGTTGCCAACTCCTCCTTGTCTAAAATTATGAACAGTTTAGAGGCATCAAGTCAAACGATAATTTACAAACTGGAAGAAGCTGTCTCCTCTGCACCCCAATGGCCACCCCTCCTCCTCCAGAAGAAGAACGAACAACTTCGTCTTCAGGCTCCAGTGGAAAAGAGCTAAAGGTGGTGCTGAGGGCTAGATAGGCGTGGGAACTCCAGGAGCCAGCCCTTATCTAGAGTGAGAGAAAGGGAGGTGGAGGGAGATGGTTCGACAGGAGGAGATAAGCGCAGCTTGGATGTGTAGCCCAGCAGCCCGTACCAGGCTCAGACTTGCCACCCTGGATCTAAACACCCGTCTCACTCTTTACAACTGGCTTTCCAAGTTAGGTCATAGACCTTAAAAATGACTCTAACACCCATGGTGGGTAGCTTTCCTCACAGGATTAACATCAGAATATTTCGAGTCCGGGCAGCCTGAGTGTGAATCTGCTCTCAAGCACTTGCTAGTTGTGTGACCCTAGGCAAGTTGTCTCATCCATCTTGGCCTCAGTTTTCTCATGTGTGAAATAGGGATAATCTAGGCTTCCCTCAGTATCCACGGGAGATTGGTTTCAGGATCCCATGCAGATACCAAAATCCATAGATGCTCAAGTCCCTTATATAAAATGATGTCATGTTTGCATATAACTTACACACATTCTCTCTTATACTTTAAATCATCTCTAGATTACTTATAATACCTAATAGAAGTTCTATGTAAATAATTGCATTGCATTGTTTAGGAAATAATGACAAGAAAAAAGTCTGTACATATCCAGTATAGATGAACCATCTGTTTTTTTTTTCCCCCTGAATATTTTCAATCCACAATTGGTTGTATCTGTGATGTGCAACCAATGGATATAGAGGGCCACCTGTTCTCCTCACTTCATAGAGCTCTAAGGAATCAGTGAGATCACGTATGCGATAACCAATACTCATTATGATTCTTCAAACAGCCCAAACATCATCATATCAAAAGGAAAGGCAAAAGAAACATCATTCAAGACTACTGAGACTAGCTTTCTGGGTCAAGGAGTTATATACAGGTTGAGTATCCCTTATCCAAAATGCTTGGGACCAGAAGAGTTTTGGATTTCTATTTTTTTTCTTTCTTTTTCGAATATGTCCATCATACTCACTTGATTGAATATCCCAAATCCCAAAAATCCAAAATCCAGAAGACTCCAATGAACACTTCCTTAGAGCGTCATATCAGCACTCAAAAAGCTTCAAATTTTGGAGCATTCCAGATTTCAGTTTAGGTATAGTCAACCTGTACACTTTAAAACTAGAGGACAAAGGCCTTCCATTTAGAAGATCTGAGTTCAAACTTCCTCTCTGTGTAGACTCGGACAAATCATTTATCTTTTGGGTTTTAGTTTCCCATGTATAACTAGGGAACTTCAGAGAAAGTAGTTTTGGTAATGAACTGAAAACATACAGTATTCAGGATAGTGTTGGGAATGAACTGGGAAGGGCTGACCTAGCACTCAGAAGGACTCAGTGAGTCTGAGCTTCAGGTCTTTCTTCAGAGAACTGGGGTGCAAAACCTTTGGTGGCTATCCTTCCCCTCACCCCAAAAGAAGGTAGTCAGGAATTTTTTTTAAATCAGAGGACCCTGGATAACTAGCTCTTATTAAAGTTTTCCTTGTTAACCACCACCCAGCTGTTGTCTTTTTGAGGTTTGATATGCAACAGAAATAAAACCAACTAGACAGAAATATGAGGGTTTCTGTATTTTCTGGGAAGAAACAAGAAGTGATGCTTTAAGTTTCCAAGAATAGCCTTGAAGCAATTTGGTTTTTGCCAAGTGGAGTCTCTTATTTGTGGTTCTTCTGCTCCCCTGCCTATGTGACTTCATGAGTCACAAAGCAATTTCCTTTCCCTGCCTCTAGCTGCTAAAAATTAAAATTTAGGGCCCCAGATTGCAGGCAACAACATTGGTAACGGGCTAAGCCCACTAAATCTGAGAGTCAAGCTCAAGGTTTACGTAGAGTCCCTGAGCACCTCTCCAAATGAGAGGAGGGGCCTCCCCATCCCAGTCTGCAGGTGCCTCAAAGTTAGGACTCCCACGCCTCCTGCCTTCCCCGAGCCTCTTCTCCCAAACGGCATATCAGACAGTGTAACCAGGCTTTCGATAAATGATGGAGTTTATACAAACTTAAGGAGAGATGGGGGTGGACACTAGGCAGAACCTTCCCACAAAGCAGCAGTTTGGCCCAGGAGAAAAGCTCATTCTTCAACCCACCCTTGAGGCTCACAGACAAAATCTGTTTCAAGGTCAATGCAATCTAAACACAAAACCCTCTTGCCATATATACTGCCAAGCAGCCCTGTTCAAACTTTCCCTCTCCAAGCTCTATGTCACTAAGGAGCTCTGGAGCAAGGCCCAGGTTCCTTGACAATGAAGTGGGGTGTTCACCCCACACTCACAGGGTGCTCAGGAAACGAAAAGCTCCAGTTTTAACTCTCGCACACAGAAGACCCTCAGTTATG